GAAAGGTATTCTGTTGTCATTAGACATTAAAGAAATGCAAATCAAAACCACAGTGAGCTAGCACTTCACACACATTGTCAGCATAACATAAATTAAGAAAACATAATTTTAGAAAAGAAGACATAATAACAAAGATTGGAGAACTTGTAAAGAAACTGGAGGGCTGGAGAGATGGCTCAGAGGTTAAGAGCACTGGCTGCTCTTGCAGAGTGCTCTTGCAGAGGACCCAGGTCTGATTCCCAACACCCACATGGCAGCTAACAACCATCCATAACTCCAGTTCCAGTTGATCTGACACCTTCTGACTTCTGAGGGCATTGCATGACATGGTTGCACTTAAACATACCTGCAGGTAATACACTCATGTACATAAAATATGAAATGAATAATAAATAAAATTTTTAAAAAACTGGAGGGTCAGCGAGATGTCTCTGCAGGTAAAGATGTTTACCCCTCAAGCCTAACAGCCTAAGTTTGATCCCTGGAAGCCATGTAAACGTGGAAGGAGAGCGCTAACTTCACAAAGTTGTCCTCTGATCTCCATGAGCACATCCCACCTCCTATGTAGTCTCAAGAAGTTACACGTAGGGTTTAAACGTGACCCAGCAATTCCACTCCTAGGTGTATAGCCAGGAAAGAGGCATAGGGAGTGGAGGTGGCTGCCAGTGGGCAGGGAGTTTCTTCTGTGGACAATGAAAACATTCCAAGCTTAAGATGATTGTACCACTCTGTGAGTGTAACAAAGATATTGAATTATATACCCATTTTTAACGTTTATTTATGTATGTGTGTCGCACAAGTGTATGAAGATGCCCAAAGAGGCCAGAGGAAAGTGTCACATCTCCTGGAGCTGAAGTTACAGGCTTTGCAAGCCATTCATTGTGGGTGCTGGGAACCAAACTCTTGTCGTCTGCAAGAGCAGCAAGTGCTCTTAACTGCTGAGCCATCTTTCCAGCCCTGTATACACCCATGTTTTAAAATGGATTATTTTATTATATGTGAACCATAAAAAATATTTTTTAAACAGTTGAAAACAAACTGACTAATGTTTACTTTCTTCTTGATAGGAAAGCAAGAGCTGGATTTCTGAAGATGACTTCTACAGACCTCCCCAGGAGTGTGCGTCTGAGAGTGCTTCAGACCTCTCCATACTTCCTTCACTAGAGACTCTGGAATCGAGGTCCACTCTCCACAGGCATTTTTCTCAAGGACCAAGAAAGAGCTCTTCTCTAGGGGCATTAGACAAAGCATGTGTGCCTTCCCCAGCCGGTGCAGCCCCAGCAGTGCAGGAGCAGAAGAACTTCTGCGTGGTGTACAGGAGGCAGATGGGTAGGTGGCTCTGCTGGGACAATCTCTTTCAAAAAGTAGCTTACAAGTCCTGTTTGTCCTTACCAACAGGTGGTATGTTCCCACAGAATAAATCATCACTCAGAATGTAACAGTAAGACAGGAATTCAGGAGAGTTCAGAAAAAGTGCTACGTTCTCATAAAATTTTAGTAAAACAGTGTCACAAAGGTCTTGCTGTGTAGCCCTGGCTTGCCTAGTACTTAATATGTGGCTCAGACTGGAACTTACAGCCATCTTTGTGCCTCAACCTCTGGAGCACTGGGATCATAGGCATGTGCCATTGTGCCTGGCTGTTTTTCATAAATTGAAATGGAAATTCTCCCTAAAATTATGTCATGAAATTTAGGATGGCAAATTCCAGCCTATTGGTGCAGGCCTATAATCCTAGCTACTTAGTAGATTGAGGTAGAAAGATCTCAAGTTCACAGACCACAGAGTGAATTCAGGGCCAACCTGGATGTTAGCATCTATGATCTTATTTCCAAAAACCAAAAAATATAGAGGGACTATACTATGCCCAGTGATCGAGCACTTAACGTATGAAGTTCAGATTCCACCCCCAGTATCATTAAAAAAAAAAAAAGCTGAACCACAAAATTTAAGATTACAGTGAGTTTGTGATTCCCTCCATGACTCAGAGGAAAACCTGCCCTGAAGGCCTGGTTGCTCTAATTGCTTCTTCTAAAGGCTTTCATCTTGGATGGTTCTGTGAGTAACCCTGATGGGGTCTGTCAACCCTGCTGTTTGTTCGGTCCTCCGTGTGCTATTTATAATGTCTCCAGTTTAATCTCTACATCCTTTAACAGTCCAGAAAGCATTAAATAACCCTGGGTTAAATTTTCAGTAACCCTCAAAATGGGTTTTTGTGCTTTTTGAGACAGAGTCTGATACTATTGTTGTCCTGAAACTCAGCTCCTTAACTAGAACTTGTTACAATTCTCTTGCCTTAGTTTCTTGAGTGCTAAGGTTAAAAGCATGAGTCACCGTACCTGTCTGAGCTTCTTATAAAAGCAAAGAAAACAAGCTTGTCCTGGCATTGGTCTCCATCTCTCCTCATTTTCTGATGGCAGGGGCTCAGCAGGGAATTCTGCCAGAGTCCCCCAGTCTCCATGCTGGATTCTCTTATTTGTCTCAGTCAGAACTGGCTGTGGTCTCTAACTCTGCCAGAGAAGCCAGAAAGGCCTTTGAAAGAAGCTTCATACCTAGGCTATTAGATTCCCTGTCACTCTGTGCAATCATTTCAGATCTCCAGTGTTAGTCCAGACTGACAGAGAATTATGTGTCCTTTGGACTCCTGCTTAAGGCCAGGTTCCAGGGGAGTAGGGAACATTGAGCAGTGTGTGGCACATAGGCACTCACCCAACCACTTGCTCATGCAGCAGATATTTTTGTGAGTATGCTAGGCATCATCTGTGATGTGCTAGGCATTACCCCAGGAGCTAGAGACATAGCAGGAAGCAAAGCAGTGTCCATATCCATATCGTCATGAGACTTAAGTTATAATGGGGAAGGAATAGGAAATTGACCAGTAAATGTGGAGTGTGGTCAAATGGTGATAAAAGCTATGGCAAATAATTAGTGGGGATGCTCAGGTGGAGGGTAGTCTTGCTAGAGAGAGAGAGAGAGAGTGTGTGTGTGTGTGTGTGTGTGTGTGTGTGTGTGTGTAAATCCCTGAAAGCAGGTGAGCACAGCTAGGAGGAGGGTGGCCAGGGAGAGAGACCCAGTGCTGAGCTCCTGGTGCTCCAGCCTTGGATCAGGATGCTGAGGTGAGGGTGGAGATGAGGGCTTCAGGGAGGCTTTAGGATTAGCTGCAGGAGGGCATTAAGGCCCTCTCAGGAGCAGTTTCAGTAGAATGAGGAGACAAAAACCTTTTCAGGGGCAGGTTCAAAAAGGAATGAGAGGCGGAATTGCATATGCCTTTAGTCCCAAAGCTTGGGAGGCAGAGGCAGGTGGATCTCTGAGTTTCAAGCCAGCCTGGTCTACTTACTGAGTTTCAGAGCTTGCCTGGACAGTGACTCTGAAGTGTCTCTTTCTGGAAAAATCTATATTTGAGGAGGAAGGGGAGGAATGGGAGCAGGGAAACTAGAGACAGATATGTAGATACTTCCTCAAGCAGTTTTTCTGTAAAAGAGACCAAGAAACGGGGTGGTAATTAGAGATGAGAGTGGAGATGAGGAAATTTTAAGCATGGAAGGAGTAACAGCACAGTGTGTGTGTTGATGGAAATGACCCAGTAGAGAAGGAAGACAAGGGCAACATGGGAGAGAGGGAGAATTACTGGAGACATGTCCTTGTCCTTGAGTGGGTGGGGGGAGGGGCTGGCTCATTCCTGGTGATGGGAAGTCAGAGTGTGGGCACAGACTCTTGAGGGGGCAGTACAGTGAAGGAGCCCATGGAGCGGTCTGAGTACTTCCATCTTTAAAGTGAAATGCCAAAAGTGAGGTCAACAGCTGAAGGAAGAATGGCTGGAGGTGCTCAAAAAATATTCCATCCAAATTTCAGAGTCCCCTTTGAAAGTGCCTGGAGCCAGCTGTGTTCTTGGTAGCAGTGATTCTCCCATAATAGGGCAGTTGTAGATGTGGGTGATAAAGGGACGGGCCCATAGTCTAAAGTGCTTCTTTTCTGCCTCTAGGCCTATCTAACCCATTCCGGGGCCTCATGAAGCTGGGCACAGTGTCCCGGAGGGGGGCCATGGGCATCTGGAAGGAGCTCTTTTGTGAGCTGTCCCCACTGGACCTCTGCCTCTACCTGAGCGATGAGGAGCGTACGTGTGTGGAAAGCTGCTCCCTGCTACGATGTGAGGCTGTTGGGCCAGCTCACAGTGACGGGCGCTTTGAGCTGGTCTTCTCTGGCAAGAAGCTGGCCCTGCGTGCTTCTTCCCAGGATGAGGCCGAGGACTGGCTTGACCGAGTGCGGGAGGCCCTGCAGAAGGTCCGGCCTCAACAGGAGGATGAGTGGGTGAACATCGAATACCCCGACCAGCCTGAGGATGCCCCAGAGGCTCCACCAAACAGCATCTCTTATGCAGCCCTGGTCCCAGAACCTGCTGACCCCCAGGGCATGCAGTTGAATTGGACATCTGCCCAGGTTCCAGAGCCAGATGCTATCAAAGAGTCTCTTTTGTACCTATATGCAGATCGGACCTGGGTCCCCTATATTTTTTCCCTGTCCTTGGAGTCTTTGAAATGTTTTCGAGTAAGAAACAATGAGAAAATGCTAAGCGATAGCCATGGAGTGGAGACCATCCGAGACATCCTGCCAGATGCAAGCCTTGGGGGCCCAGCCTTCTTCAAAATCATCACAGCCAAGGCCATCCTGAAACTGCAGGCCAGGAACACTGAGGAAGCTGCCCTGTGGAGGGACCTGGTTCGCAAAGTCCTGGCATCTTACTTGGAGTCGGCTGAGGAGGCTGTAACACTTGGGGGGAGTCTGGATGAAAACTGTCAGGAGGTGCTGAAGTTTGCCACCAGGGAGAATGGTTTCCTACTGCAGTACCTCGTGGCCATCCCCACCGAGAAGGGCCTTGACTCCCAGGGCTGTTTCTGTGCAGGTGCTAACTGACTCCCAACATTCCCAGCCCTCTGTCCTCTACCTCCTGTGGGAGCCTCAGTTTAGGTTCCTCACTAGGGCCTCCATCCCTCCTATGAATGATACAGCAGAAGGCATCTTCCTGCAACCTCACTTCTCCCTCAGCACCCACTGTGAGCAACCCCTTTCCCTTCCTGTCTTAAGACCTCCTTCCTGATGCTGGATGGGACCTATGGGTGACAGTCCTGCTTCCTGGGGCCCTTCTATCCTTGCTGCATTTTCTTTTTCTTAAATTATGTGGATGCTTTTGTGCCTGAGGGAATATGTCCAAATGAATACAGGAGCCCTTGGAGGCCAGAAGAGGTTGTCAGATCCCCTGGAACTGTAGTTACATGCCTTTGTGAGCCACCTGTTGTAGGTGCTAGAAACCTAACTCCGATCCTTGGAAGAGCAGTAGTGTTCTTAATCACTGAGCCCTCTCTCCAGTCTGTTCCTGCTTTTTTTTTTTTTTCTTTGAGGCAGGGTCTCACTGTGTAGCATTGGCTGGACTTGCTACATAGACCAGGCTGGCCTGGACCTCACAGAGATCCACCTGCCTCTGCTTCCCAAGTGCTGGGATCAAAGGTATGTGCCACCATACCTAGCCTCCTGTTATCTTCTTAATATGTCATCAAATGCTTTTGTGGAAGGGGGATGGGATCCTCCCAAAGTACGTATATCTGCATGCTTTTCTAAGACATGCCATTCGGTGCTGGCCAGTAGGACTTCTATAATGATTAAAGTGTCTGGATCTATGTATCCAACCAGTAGTTACAGGCTACATGTAGCCTCTATATACTTAAAATGTGGCTAATATGATTTTCTATTTACTTAAATTTAAAGGGGTACCTGTGACTTATAGCTACTGTGTTGGGCAATGTAGCTCTGCATATTGTTCTGTAGTTTGGGGGCTTTCTTGTTTGTTCACTCTTTCTTTCTTACACACAAACACACATAGGTCTCACGAAGCCCAGGCTGACCTTTAACTTAGTATGTAACTGAGGATGACCCTGAACTCTTGATTCCTCCAGCCTCTACTTCCCAAATGCTGGGATTACAGGGATGTACTACTATTTCCCCCACACCTCTTTTTTTGAAACAAGGTCCCACTATATAGCCCAGGTTGGCCTTGAACTCACAATAATCTTGCCTCAGCTCCCAAGTGATAGGATTGTAGGCATATGTCACCATACCTGGTTTTTCTCTTTGGTACTATATTATGTATATTCCATATGGGAATCTGCTATATCAGTATCATCATGGGATCTAGTCCTGTACAGGGCACTGAGCCAGATGTTTTATTTGAATCGTTTCATTTTTTTTCTCAGGACATTCCTGTAGAACTAGGGGCTAATATTTTCTCTGCTTGTAGTATAGGTGAGGAAACTGAGGCCCAAAACTGGTATATTGTCTCAGACTCATAGTATATAGAAGAGGCAGAATTAGACTTTGATTAGCTGTGCCCCAAAACATAACGTGGTCATGGGCAGGATACCAGAGGACCTCCCAACCCACATAGTATCCAAAGCTTGCTGATCTGTGTACCTTCCATTGCGACCTCTTCCCACCTATCCCCTGCACCTGCTGTCCAATGAAGAGGCCAGCTTCCCTGTTGCAGAACAGAGCAGAAAGCTGGGTGGACCTGGTGGGGTGGCACCTGTGGAAGCATAGATGAAGGCCTCCAAGTGTCTGGAAGGAAGTGGCCTGTGGTGAGCCCCTGAAGGATGGGAGAAGTGTCTGAGCAGAGCTTCCTGCAGAAAACAACTGCAAGCCTCTGCCGGCCCCAGCACTCCTACTCTGGCCTTGTGGAGGAGGCTCCTGTCTGAGGGTGTGAGTGCCTGAGGACAGCTCTTCCTGTGGCTCTTCCGGCCAGCTGAGATTGTTGAACTCGGGGAATTCAGGTTTCAGCTGTTTGATCCTTAGGCCAAAGAGACCTTTTTCCCTGCCCCGTGGGAAGTAGGGTATGGATTCAAGATTTAAGCTGGGCTTAGCCCTGGGCATTCCTGACTCTTAGAGCCCCTGGTATGGCAAGACTACCAACCAAGTGGCTGAAACTGTCACTGCCCCAGGATCCTAAGATATGCTGCTCTGGGCTTAAGTGGGTACCAGGATATGTCCACATTGCCCCATCCACTCCAGTAGCCAGACCGCACTCCACAGATCCTTCATTGCTGGTCTAGGTCCTGGCTTAGTTACTCCTGTTTCTGTGCCCCAGTGGAGGTACAAGTGGAGTACAGATTGGCAGTAGACAGTAGACAGTGGAGCCAGAAAGCAGGTGTCTGTGGAAGAGACTGTTTGCTTCATGGATAAGTAAACCTAAATTTGAGTGCCACCATACTACTTAATCTGTGTGGCCTGACAGATTTCTTTCCTTGGTTGGTAGGGGTAGGGGTGGGGGGGCTCTTTTTTTTTTTCGTAACTCTAACTGGCCTAGAGCTCATGTAGACCAGACTGGCCTCAATCTCACAGAGATCCTCCTGCTCCTACCTCTCCAGTGCTGGGATTAAAGGTGTGCACCATTACTCCCAGTCTGCTTGGTTTGTTTAGAGACAGGTTCCTACTATGTAACCCTAGGCTAACTTTAAACTCACAGTCCTCCTGCCTCAGCTTCCAGGTGCTCATAGGTCCAGCAATAACTGTTTAACAACAGTGTACTATTGTAATAGTTTTGATTTTAAGTAGTGGAGATCTGAGTGATTTTAAAAATGTGTGTGTGTGTGTGTGTGTGTGTGTGTGTGTGTGTACGTGTGTAAGTCAGGGAACAACTTGGGGAGTCAGTTCTTTCTATCATGTGGGTCAATTCAAATTCAGGTTGTCTGGCTTGGTGGCAAGTACCTTTATCCACTGAGCTATCTTGTCAGCTCCATGAATGATTATTTTTGTCATCTTACTAGCAGGCCCTTTCTACTATATAACTTCTGTGTTAACTTGAAGCTGACTCTGATCCCCCACCACTCACCCACCATCCATCTCTCCAGGCTGCTCCCGGCAGATTGGCTTCTCCTTTGTACGACCCAAGCTCTGTGCCTTCTCTGGCCTCTATTACTGTGACTTTTGCCACCAAGACGATGCCTCAGTGATTCCAGCCAGGATTATCCACAACTGGGACCTCACCAAACGCCCGGTAAGTTCCTGTGCCAGCCAACAGGCTATACCCCTTAGTCTTACTTTTGCTGCAGGGAAGAGAGAGCACGTTTTCTAGGTCTCTATCAATTATGAAGATGCTGTGTGGTTATTGTTTAACATGTAAAAATTAGACAAGCCCAAAGACAAATCAAAATTAGATGTCATCCCTAAAGATAATCACTATTCCAGTTTCTTAACCTTTGAGCATCGATTTCTTCAGCTGTAAAATAGCAATGATAATTCTTAAGAGTATTTCAGAAGATGGCCTTTTCTGTGCATTTATGTACCTATGCATCTGGACTCATCTTGCCTTATTTAGCACATGCTTTGCTTACTTAATATTTTATCATAGGTACTTTTTAAAAATTGCTTTTTTTCTGTGGGAATCAGACAACAACTTGACACCTTATGGGAGTCTGTTCTCTCCTTCCACCATGTGGGTCCCTAGAATTGAACTCAGGTCATCAGGCTTGGCAGCAGGGACCTTTACCCACTGGTGCATCTTGCTGGACTTGGGTACTTTGTTATGCTTACCAAATGCTCCTAAACAGAATAGTTTGTGTGCATGCTTGCTTATGATAGGGTCTCATAGTTCCTGCCAACAATGCTTTTCTTTCCTTGTCTTTAAGAGAGAGACTTGGCTTTCTCCAAAGGGCATAGATTTCTAAGACATAGAAACACAAGGAAGGAGCTATTTGCTTGTGTCCAGACCTGCAAGCTGTATAATCTAGGCCTTTGGGTGTGCCCCAGAGTACAGGGATGGTGACTTTAAGTCCATTTTCACAACCTTGGCTTTGCTTTGCTTTGGCTCTTCTGTTATTTACCTTGTCCCAACCCCTGCCCTTAGTAGGTATTCAACCAGATAGAGAAAACTCAAAATTCAGAAATGCAAAAAATCCCTTTCATGGTAAAACAGTTTACTCTCCCAGCCTGCTGCTTCAGTGAAACACTTCTTCATTCCCTGCTGGGATCCTTGTGCCTCCTTCCTTTCTCCCACTGGCACATTACAGTCCTCTTGTAGGCACTTCTGAGATCAGGAAATAGCCAGTTCTCCCTCAACAATCACTGACCTGGGAAAGACAGGAAAATTCAAAAGAGAGAATAGTTGGGACCTCATCATTTGCTGCTTCTCTGGCTGACCGACTTGTGCTGAGATCCAGCTGGCACCTGGCAGGACATCAGCCTAAGCCTGGGGTTCTGCTTTTGTCCGTCTCCTCTGAAACCATAGGTCAGGGACAGCCCTGTGTGCTGCCAGGCAGTGTTTGGTGCATATTCCTGGGTGTTGTTTCAGCTGCACCTCACCTAAGGCCTGAGGCTGAGTTGTCGAAATAGCTGGGCTAGGCCTTGAGGACAGCAATTTGACTCAAGCTACCAGGGGTTTACCACTGGGCTGCTCCTAGGCTAGGGGCTGTTACCTCAGGGTTCTGGGATAGGGGAAAAGGAGTTGTCCATTGCTTGGGGAGGTAAGACCTGCTGGGAGTTGGGGGATAGGAAGTCAGAGGTCTCCTCAGCCCCCAAGTATATGGGCAGGTCTCCTGAGGGTCCCATTGTACATTCCCTGACTCTCAGGAGCCACCAGGGCCACAGTAGATTCTTGCATTGCAGCAACGCTCCCCTTTCCTGAGGATGTGCATGTCAGGCCCTGTGCCAAGAGCTTACATCAGGTATTTCCTTTAGTCGAAACTCAAAATAATGTCATGAAGTAAGCTTTGGTTTTCCTCTAGAAAACTTTAGCTCTTGACACACAAAGAGGAGGCCACAGTGAAGGGAGTTTGTGGCAGCCCTGTGTTCTGAGACCATGCCAGAGCTGAGACCTTGGGCTCTGTGATACAGGCAGGTTGGATAAGCAAGCCACTAGCTTTTCTGAGCTTGTTTGCTCATCTATGAAACAGGCCATGCCACCTCTCCCTGTGGATTGTTCTCAAGATGAAAAAATGTTAAGGATCACTAAGCTCCATGGTGGGGAGCTCTGGTGGTTGCTTCTGCGCCCTGAGGAACCTTGTGGAGCTGTGTCTGCTCTGTAGCTTCCTGTGGTTGGAGCCTGATGGCAAAGGAGTCACCTGGTTCCTGAGTCAGGGCTCAGAGGACAGCATGTTTCATTTAGGCAGGAAAAGGGGGCTGGGAGGACAGGAAAGTGTGGGAAGAGGCTGTGAGGCCCACAGGGAGGGGGCTCCCTCTTCTGTCTCAGCATGATCAGAAGGGAGCAGCAACAGGGTTTGAGAATCAGATAGACTGGTTTCAGATACTGACTGGACAATTTCAGAGTGTGCAACCTTGAGGTCAAGTGGCCTCAACTCTCTGACCCTGTTTCCTAGTCTGTAACACGAAGAAAGTGCCACTCATTGGGGGCAGGTGAGGACTAGGTAATGCAGCACCCAGCCAGAAGGCCAGGCTAAACAACCAATCACCCATTGGTGCCCCCAGGTGTGTCGACAGGCCCTGAAGTTCCTGGCACAGATTCGGGCCCAGCCTCTTATCAACCTGCAGCTGGTGAACGCCTCTCTGTATGAGCATGTGGAGCGCATGCACCTCATCAGCAGGAGCCGGGAACAGCTAAAGCTTCTGGGGGACTACCTGGGCCTGTGCCGTAGTGGTGCCCTGAAGGAGATGAGCAAGAGGTGAGCTCTCTGCATGCATATGTACCCCCTTTACACACACACACACACACACACACACACACACACACACACACACACACAAGCCTGGAGAAGGCATCCACTTGGGAGAGATGCCAATGCTGAGCTGAGAAGTTCCTACTGAACTGTCAAATCACTGCATCCTTTAGGGGTGGTGGTTTTATTCAATAGTCATTCATTTATTCATTCATTCATTCAACAAATATTCAGAACAACTATTCCAAGCACGGGGAGAAGGAGAATACAGTGTTGAGCAAGGCAGACCCAAAGCCTCCCTCAAGAAGCCTCTGATCTGGCAGGGAAGGCAGATGAGCTAGCAGCATCTATAACCAGAGAGCCAAAACCTGGGAGAGAGGAAGGAAGCTGCAGATATGTGGCGGAGACACATCTGACCAGGAGGGTGGGGAGATAGAGCAGAAAGCTGTCCTGGAGGGAGTGACTCCTGAGATGAGACCTGAAAAGTGAACAGAAGTTAAAGAGGGAAGGAGGAGAGGAAAAGGGTTCCAGACAGAGGATTGGCACGCACAGACCATGAGGAAGGCACCACACCTGGAAGGCCCAGAGAGGGCTTTGGCAGATGTGGGCAGAGTGGTAAGGGGCAGACTAGAGAAGGATGCCAGCCCGTCTTCGTCCCTTGGCTGCTTGATGCTATCCTTGGCAACATTGCTCCCTGGATCCTCCAGAGTGTAAGGTTGGCAGCACCCTGGGGGTGGGCTCTTCTTGGTACTCAGGGCCTGGGGTCTTTGGTGTTTAAGGGATGGGAGATGACCTTAGGCTTCAGGCAAGAGCCTCTCTGCGACTGCCTCAAACACTTCCTAGCCCTGCGCTTACAGCCCAGGCTGTGGCTTTTAAGGAACTGTACTCTCTGGGGGCCCTTAGGAGAGTACAGCTCTGAGAGGCCCACTGCCCAGTATGGACTTTGTGCCTATTTTTCCAGGTCTTTGGAGACTAGTGGAGCTCACAAGTCCTTCCACTTACCCAGCCTCACTTCTCTAGGGACTGACACAGACAATACTGTCTGAAGGTGTCTCCTCAGGCCTAGGTATACTTTAGTTGTCCCAGAAGCACACCTGCTCTGTTCCTCAGAAATGAATGTGTCCAGTGCAGGTCCCGGCTCTCTGGGTGGAGCTATAGAACTCTGTACTAGGCAGAGGAGTATGCTGGTCCTTTACAGCCCTGCAGAGCAGCCAGTGAGCCCCTAAGGCTTTCCTCAGGGCCTGGAGGAATAGAAAGCCTCCTTGGAGGGCTCTGCCACCCTAACTAGCCCAGTATCTGGTTCTCCTTTTTCCACAAAGTTGACCCATTTCTCTCCTTTCTGAGATTCTGTGGCCCAAGGCATGTGTCACTCTCTGCCTTATTCCTTTGAAATGGGGGTCCTCACTGAACCTACAACTTGCCACTTTTTAACTAGACTGGCTGGCCAGCAAACCCCAAAGATCCTTCTGTCTTTGCGCCCCATAGCACTAGTGTTACCATGTGCATGATCATACTCCAGCTTTACATGGGTGCTAGGGATCCTAATTTGGGTCCTCTTGTGCAGAAAGTATTCTGCTGAACCATCTCCCAAACCCTGACATGCACATCTGTAGTAATCCCCTTTTAGAGGAAACACGGGACAGGGAGAAAACATGGAAACACCCTGCCTGGCCTAGACCTCTGCATGACTCCAGGAAGTGGCTTTGCTTCTCTGAGCCTGTTTACCCATTTTATAAGTTAGGCCACTGATCTTGGGTGTATGTGGCCTCCCTGAGTTATGGTGAGAACCACATGAGAGGCTCAGTGACTGGGCCTTAACCAGCCATAAGCAGGTAGGCACATAGCTGGGTAAGCATTATATGTGTCCTGAGGGAGGGTGCCAAGGCATCCTGGGCAGGAGCTAGAAGGGCCGGAAGGCTGGAAAACTCTCAGTTGGTATATGAGCTGAGGGCTTACAGCTCTTCTCTTTCTTTAAAAAACAAAAACCTTAAGAGAGTTTAGGTGATTGTGGTGGCACACACCTCTAATCCTACCACTTAGGAGATGGAGGCAGGAGAATTGGAGTTCAGGGTCATCCTCAGCTCCATATCAAAGCTAGCCTGGGCTACATGAGACCCTGTCACAAAAAATCAAGAAAGAAGGCCAGCAAGATGGTTCAGGAGGTAGGTGCACTGAGTTAGATCTCTCAAATTCACAGTGAAAGGAGAGACCCAACTCCTGAAAGTTGTCCTATGACTTCCACATGTAGGCTGTGGTGTGCCCCACCCCCTGTCATGCACATACACAATAATAATAATAAATAAAATACAGGTTTTTAAATTAAGAAAGGTGGGTAGGAGGGAGAGAAAGAAGGGTAAGACCTCTCTGGCATTAGGAAGGAGGGAAAGAGGCTGCATGGCTCTAGCATTAGTGAAGAGCCAGGTATTGGGGAAGCAGAGTGCCTAGAAGGCACTGGTATAATAACTATCCCTGGAATTGGATGGCCTAATTGAAGAAGAGAAGGACTGAGGAGGTCTGGACAGTCTGGCTGTGGGAGGCGAAGCCACGAGGAGCTGCCCTCTGCTCATAGCCTCAGACTGTCAGGGCCTCTGAGAGAATGGGGGTTCCTTTATAGGCCTGGGACATGTCTCCTGTGACCTCTTGGGCCTTTGGAAGGGGCCTCCATTATAGAAATGCCCCCACAGGGATGTCCCGCCAGATCTTGGTGTTCCTACCTTTAGCCTCAGCTGAGGAGGAGTGGCCAGAGGAGGAATGGGAATCATATAAAAAAATGTAAAACCCCAGCCACCCATGGAAGTCCCTCAGATCACCTGGCTTTGGCAGGGTCTTTTTGTCTTCAGTTTCCCAGATCCCGAAGTTCCCCAGCTCCTTTCCCTAGGCAGTTAGCTTCGCTCCAGAGGACTGAGAAGGATCTTTTTGTTGTATGGGTGGAGAAACTGAGGCCCAGGCCAGGCTTTGCCCAGCGCCTCGCCATCTCTCCTTCTGGCCTTAACCAAGCCTTTCAGAGAAATCAGTTGCAAGGCCTTGCTGAGAGTGACAGGCCAAGGATACAGTGACTCCCAGGAAAGGCCCTGGGCCTGGCTGGCTCCCAGGACTGGACAGAGGGAAGATGGCAGGGATAACGCTCCATCAAATCAGCCCCACCCTTCCTGCCAGCTGAGAGCCAGCCCATACACCCCCTCCGCATTTTCCTGGAAATAAATGGCAGCCTCCTGTTCCCAGAAAGCTGGAAGCTCGCTGGGGAAACTAGCATGGTAAACTGAGAGGTAAGTTGGAGGTGTCTTTACCCACATGATGCAGCCTGACCTACCTGGTCAGCTCCCATGGACCTCAACTGAAATGACTGGCTAGGGCATGGCCAAGTCCCCCAGGGGCTGACGCTGTCCTGCCCTGTATGTCCAGGATGTCCAGGCACAGGATCCCAGACTTCTAACTTGGACTATCTCCACATCAGTACCCACCCATGCAGACATGCAGCAATGCTGGTCAGGGCTCTGCACCAGGGATTTTCTACAAGTGTTTTTATCCCTCAGGACATGACCTGGGGTCCCCTGTTATTGGTGTGTTGGGAACCTGGGTGGGGCTGGTGTCCTGCTCTCATCTTTTCCTCCCAACCCTGAAATAGGATCTGCCTTCCTAGAATATGGCTCAGTTGCTCTCACAGATCACCGAAACCAGACACTTTAATGTGTGTGAATGTGTATCCCTCAGCTAGACAAGGAACTACCATGGGCAGCAACCACGTCAATGTATCTCTGTCCTCAGTATTCTACCAGTGGTGACAGTGGAGTGGATAAGGATATAGGCCAGACTCCTACATTCAAGTTCTAGCTCTGACTCTTAACTCTGTGACCTCGGGCAAGTTATTTAACCTGAGCTTCCTGTCTTGCCAAAATGGGAGTCACAATCAAACCGGCCTCACAGGATTACTGCAAGGATTCGATACTTAGCCCAGCTTTTGGTACCAAGTATCAGCATGCATCATCCTCTTCCTCACAGCTGTTAGTCATATGTTTACAATGTACATGCTTTCAGTAAATTATTTAATCCTCAAAACAGGTCTGTGTCTTGTTCAGAGGTGAAGTAGCTTGCCCCAGATCCAGCTGGTTATTGTACCAGGTAGTTCAAGTGGGGCACAGACAGACTGATTTGTGCTCTTGGCCTGCTGGTAACCCAGACTTGTGATGCTGGCAGACAGTGCAGAGGGAAAGAAAACAAGGTACGCAGGGAGCCTGGCCTAGAACCCTTCTGAGGAAGTGCTTGTGTTGTCTTTGCAGGCTGAGCCACAGGAATTATCTCTTGGAGTCTCCCCACAAATTCAGTGTCGCTGACCTCCAGCAGGTGAGCATGTGGTGTTCCCCT